TCGAAGAGAAGCCTGGCTGGAGAACCACTCGGGTTCAAGCGCGCCGACGGAGGAAAGATCTTGGAAGAGCTTGTGGAAAACTAGAGTACCAGGAAAGGTGAGGATGTTCCTTTGGAGACTTTCAAAGCAGTCAATCCCAACGAATGATGTCAGGATGCGAAGACATATGGCACAGTCAAATTCATGCAGTCTATGCGGGGCTCCCGACTCCTGGAGACATTCACTTCTCGATTGTACAATGGCCAGATGCACTTGGGCATTAGTGGAAGGGGATCTTCTGGAAAAAAATGGCAGCAACAATGGAGCCAAAGGCCAAACATTGGCTGTTCACCTTAATGGAGCTGTTATCTCATGCTGAATTTGTCAAGCTTTCGATGACCTTATGGGCTATCTGGGCAGCAAGGCGGAAGGCCATCCATGAAGGCATCTTTCAGAGCCCACATGCGATCATGTCTTTTGTCGATAGGTACATCAATGAGTTTGAGGTGATCAATGGTAGACAGGAGCAGGCCCGTACCCAGTCTAGGGTGGCAACTGTGGGCGTGAGGAAACCAAAAGCCCCCCATGCGGGCTATGCAAAAATCAATGTTGATGCGGGGTGCAGAAAAGAAAGTAGGGGGACAGCTATAGCAGTATGTAGAGATAACACCGGAAAGTTCCTCGGAAGTTCGGCCCTCGTAGTCAGAGGTGTGGATGATCCAGCGACGCTCGAGGCAATGGCATGTCGGGAAAGATTGGCACTCGCAGCCGATCTCCATGTCAATCAATTTGTCATTTCATCTGATGCTAAGGAGGTGGTCAGCGCTATCCATAATGATAGCTGTGGACCTTATGGAGCCATCATCAAGGAGATTAGAGTCCAACAATTATCTTTTCTTTGCAATTTTTGTTTCGAAGGTCGTTTGAACAATTTAGAAGCTCATAAGTTAGCCAAGCATTCACTTTCTTTGGGTCCGGGGCGCCACGTCTGGTTTGGCCAACCCCACGACCTGAACTGTATCCCACTTCATGTGGTCTTTGATGAATAAAGCTTGGCTATTTCCCTCAAAAAAAAAACCTGAATTCTGAACAACAGTGTAGGCGTGTCGACTGAGCTTAAACTGAACCTGTACAGGCAGCAAAATACACACATAACCGGCCTACCGAGGGTGGCCATCGAAAATGCTTGACTACCTGAAGAATCTCCTACCCTGGGAAATGAAACTGTATAAACCCCCTGACCTCTCCGATCCAATGGAGGCCGCGTCAGATCTCCTGAGGTGTTAGACGGAGCCCTAGACAAGTTTTCAGCAGGTGCAGGCAACTGTGCGTGACAAAAAGGGATGTGGAACATGACATGATTCAACAGCTTAGAGCACGATCTTACAGTTACTTGCACAAGTGAAGCTAATCCGAAAATCTGACGAGGTAAAGTAGTAGTAGATGACTCAACTTTGTACTAACTTTGTACTATTGTTAATACAAAGTTGAGTCATCTATTTTGGAACGGAGGGAGTAGAAGAAATCAAAATGCCCACTTTGATCAATATATTCAGGTGCACTGACCGATGAGAGAAATGAACTGATCCTCAGTTGAAAATGCTCAACAAATCAATTGCTTCCCAGCGCCTCCGAACAACTGCTTCAGGTGCCTGAAATTTTCAGTCCATTCAGGAGAGACCGAGGGCGAGAGAAGGGAACCTAGCAGCCCTCATTGCCAACAAGAGCGAGGCACAGGCTTGATGGTGCAGTTGTGAGGGTGGGGGTGTCGCCAGTGATGGGGAAGAGGGCGGAGCTTAGAGGGATGGCTGGGGGCGGTGGCGGAGGAAATGGACGCCGGCCGCTGATGGCGTCAGGCGGTTTGCCAGCAGCAGAGGGCAGGTCATTGTGGCGTTGAATTCAGATTGGAGGGAGGACTGGATAAAACTGAAAGAGTGACTGAAGCCAGATTTACGTAATTGGCCACGTTTGAACAATGACCACTTGTGATATTAAGAAAAAGTTATCATGCCTTATCATATTAGGACAATGCCAGAGGAACAAAAACTGTTGTAATTACTTACTCTAATCCAAACCATAGGCAAAACGTAAAACGACATTTAAAAACTCTGCACAAGAGGGCCTAGGGATACCTAAATACAGTTCCTGAGAGTTGGCAAGCACAGGTGATCCTTGGGAAAATAAATGGGTTCCACGAGCCTAGAAGAGGCACAAAAATGCCAAAACTATCAGATGCAGACTCACAGGTATATAGTCAACAAAGAGCATTCAAGTATCCATGACCATGCCACAAACCAAATTCAGTCTGTTGCTGGGTCCATGAATACCTGACCATTACTGAAGAAGCAAGAAGTGAACACAAACTACCTAAACCAGGGTTGGACCAAAAGCATGCCATGATCAGAAGGATAGGATTTCTCATCTGCGGAAGTATCAGTTTCCCCTGAACAGAACTCTGAGTGATAACAGATGTATCATCTGCACAGCGCGAAATATACACGGTGCAAACTTTTGAACTGAAAGCCAATAGCAATACTGAAGCCTACTATGTGAGTCAAAAGGATCTATGATGTAGCAGTTTCTATATCAGACAAATGCAGCGAAATACATGTGAGGGAGCTTTATCTCAATACCGGACCATAACAAGGAACCAGTTGAACACCAACGTTAAACAACTAAAAGATTTTGACATGTCTTGGGTTGAATCTTGATTAGAATACTCACAGCATTGATAATGGTAATCAATGCTGTCGGCATTTTGGCTCGAATAGCTTCAGCTAGAACTGAAAATATACAAGATGATCAAGATAGGAAAACATTAACTGAAAAATGATTTCCTATTAGCTACTCCCTCCGTTCCTAAGTATACAAGTCTTCTTAGAGATTCCAATGCGGACTACATACGAAGCAAAATGAGTGAATCTACTCTCTAAAATATGTCTATATACATCCGTATGTAGTCCTTATTGAAATCTCTAAAAAGACTTATATTTAGGAACAGAGGGAGTAGAATTCTTTCAGAGAGCAAAAGCAGCAACTGCTGTACACTGGTATTGTTTATAATGCTGAAACAGTAATTCACGAACACGCTATGCAAATGAAAGCCAAAGAAAAAGGGCAAACATGATGCTGAACGAAACATGCCTTAGGATGCGTATCGACGATATGACAATAATATAAAGGGAAAAAAAAGAATTGTACAGTTACAACATACAGGCATTCCATGAGAAATACTGTAATTTTTAACTTTGGCTCCTAATGAGATATTCTTCTGATTATGATGAAACTGAAGTGATTGAAATAATGTTTAGGTTGGGAAATGACAACCTATGACTCAAGTGACAAGTTGCCAAACAAACAAATAAAGAAAATAATAAGATTGAAAACAGGTCAAGAAACAAAAGAACAATCATGTCAGTCTGTTACCTTTATTACTAGGCAATGGAATGACATGGTAAAAGAAGCACACTACCATACTGCATCATTTTGTAGAAAAAAACAATGAATGAACAAAGCCAAATTAACTGGGATGACGACACATGAGGATTGTGTCTCTACAACTTGTCAGTATGGCAGAAGCATGTGACATGAGAAACAAAAGATACATAGAGCATATGAATGCTACTCCCTCCGTTCGGAATTACTTGTCGCAGAAATGGATGTATCTAGACGTATTTTAGTTCTAGATACATCCATTTCCGAGACAAGTAATTCCGAACGGAGGGAGTAGAAGTTTACTTCCTTATATTGAGGACCATATTTAATTTAAACTTCAGCGCTACCCTATAATTTTTCAAACCCTACTGAAGCCAAGCGAGTGTCCATCTTAATATTCAACAGAGTACATTGGAGTACCAAATTAGGACTCTCTGGATGAAGATCAAAGAAGATTGCAACCTCAACTAGTACTTCACACAAATACAATGAAAGATCAGTTATCATCCATGTCCTGAAGGAGTAAAAAAATTACCCCGGGACAGCAAGAATCAAGCAAGGAAACATTTCATTTTTTAGTTTGGCAAGTGACAACCTATGACTTAAGTGACAAGTTGCCAAACAAACAAATAAAGAAAATAACAAAATAGAGAGCAGGTCAAGAAAAAAAAAAGAATGATCATGTTAATTTGTTACCTTTATTACGAGGCAATGGAACATGGTAAAAGAAGCACACTACCATACTGCACCATTTTTTAGAGAAAACAATGAATGAGCACAGCCAAATTAACCGGGATGAGGACATGAGGATTGTGTCTCTACAACTTGTCAGTATTGCACAAGCATATAATATGAGAAACAAAAGATACATTGAGCATATGAATTCTAGAAGTTTACTTCCTTATATTGAGGACCATATTTAATTTAAACTTCAGCTAACCTATAATTTTTCAAACCCCACTGATGCCAAACGAATTTCAAAGTGGCCATCTTAATATTCAACAGAGTACACTGGAGTACAAAATTAGGACACACTGGATCAATATCGAAGAAGATTTGCAACCTCAACTAGTACTTCACGTCAATACAATGAAAGATCAGTTATCATCCATTGCCTGAAGGGGGTTAAATTTTTACCCCGGGACAGCAAGAATCAAGCAAGGAAACATTTCATTTTGGCAAATAAACAGAAGCCAGTTCCAAGAGAAAAATTCAAACAGAGTGGCATCAAAGAAACTTATCCCAGCAGCATCAAAGGAATATACTATACAAAAGTAGACCAAGAGAGATCAAACAGACATTCAAAAAGCACCTGGCAAGAACAGCAACCAAGTATGTACGGTAGGATTCAGAATCTCATGAAAAACAGAGAATGAACAAGCACCGATATATATTTATGTTCAAACATCATCTGCATGGCAACACATGATCTATAGTCTATCATCTGATACTTTGATATAACTATTTGTATGATCTCTTTATTCTCTCTCGCTATACTTATTACCAAGGAGGGAGGCAACCTGTATTTCAGCTACTGTTTATTACTATAGTAAAGAAGGAACTATCTGACCCTTCATCTTGTCTGTCTACTTCTTGATCCGGCGCACCTTCTTGGCGCCCCAGACCTCCATGCGGCCCTTGGGGCATCCGCAGGGCGCGCGGAAGATGAGCACGGTGCGGCCATTGGGCGGCGCCATCTTGCGGAGCTCGGCCTCGAGCTCGCGGTGCGCGTCGCCGAGATCGACGGGGCGCGCGCCCGCGGCGGCGAGCAGCGCCGATCGCGCGGCGGGGGTGGGGCGGCCGCGCACGCACTCCTCCGTCTCGAGCTGGATGTCGAACTCGACGGCCTTCTTGAGGCCCCTGCAGCGCGGCTTGCCGCACTTGCGCGCGTGATGGCCCAGTAGCGCCCAGCCGAGCGCGGCGCCGGCCACGGCCGCGGCGGCCCCCGCGAGCGGCGCGGCCGAGACGCAGGAGGCCGCCGGGTGGAGCAGCAGCGCGCGCGCCTCGAGGAGGAGGAGCCTGGCGTGCGGGGCCACGAGGAAGCCCAGCGCGGCGAGCACGGCGAGCAGCACGAGCGCGTCCACCAGGGCCATCGGCGAGTGGTCGCAGAGCGCGGTGAGGTTGCGGGTGCGTCCGGAGGGGGCGGAGGAGGAGGGGGGCAGGCGCTTGGATCGGGCGCCGCATGAGGAGTCGGCCGCCCTGCGGTGGTGCTCGAAGGCGCGCAGGAACTCGATGAGGCTGCGGCACTCCGCCATGGCGGGCTCGCGGCGCGCTCCGGCACGGCCCGGCGGGTAAAATTCGCCCGTTTCGGCCT